ACGACAATACAGTTATGAACCAGACATAATACATACAACATCGATACGACACGATACGACGATACGTGTTGATTAGATTTCGAAAGACTAAACACACACACACACACACACACGCACACATGCAGGTATGCAAGTGTGCAGGTGTACGTGTGGTTGTGTGTGTGTGTGTGTGTGTGTCTGGGGGTCCGAGACAAGTGAAATCAAATCGCACAGCGCCAATCTCCCCAGCTCATTCGTTCCATACGAAAAATGAGGTTAGTTCGCTCAGTACGCGAAGATACGTGGAGTCGAGCGCACAGGAGCGAACGGCGACTAACAAAAAAAAAGCAAACAAACAACAAAAAATTGAAGATAAATACAAAATAAATTTGTAACAACAAAACTAAAGAAAAACAAAAGAAAAAGTTTGGCAGCAACAACAACATTTAAAACTGGTAATAATTAAGTAAGTGAAGACAAAGGCAAACGCCAAACAAAGCAGGGCAAAAGCCATAWATCTCTCCCCCTCATTATCTCTCTCTCTCTCTGCTTGTAATACCCTACAGCTGCTGCAATGGGGCATTACAGTCACATGCCAATGGCACATATACGATATAGTATGCGTTTTTTTTTTTATAACATTAATTAGAAATGCATCAAAGCAAGGCAACTGTTTCTAGAGCGTCAGCTTTTTCATTTCTTTTTCTGTCGTCTTTTATTTTTCTTGGGTTGCTCCAGTCGTTTCCACGAAACTGATAATAGCCGCTCCAAAGATTACAGGTTTTATCAAATAATTGAGCTGATTTAAAGGTAAATCAAGTACATACATACATACATACATAAACAAATGCACAGTATTCGGTATTTTTAGGTAGCTCTCCCATAGCTCGCCGATATAAACAAACATTTATTGGCCTAGACTTGAAATCTTAGCCAAAGCTCGAGATCTTAATATTCTAGATCTGAACTATTTTAAGACTTTTAGATATATGAGCTTGAGCTAAAGTATTTTATTTAGTATTTTGCATAGATCAAACCGTTTCTATTTGTATAGATATATAGATTTATATTGATCCCCATATAGATCATTCCATTGTTATAAATATATATAGATCATTCATAATATAGATCAAGATCTATAGTCTTCATATAGATCATTTCATTTCAATTTGTATAGATAAATTAGTCATTTCTATTCGTATAGATACCTAAACCATAAAAGATCTTCATATTTCCATTCATATAGATACATAAAACATTTTTAATATAGATCATTATAAATCTTCATATAGATCACTCCATTTCTATTTCTACAAATATATAGATCATTCTTAATATAGCTTATTAAAGATCCTTATATAGGTCAGTCAATTTCCAGTTGTATAGCTATATGGATCACTGTTGATCTTCATTTTCATTCCCAAAGACGAATAGATCTGTCTTAATATATTACCTCAGATAACTATAGCTGCTTTTCCTAGGGTATCTGACTTTCCACCTCTAATAATACCTCTCTTGATTACTGTTGTTGCATGTCTCATTCAGCAGGTGACCGAAAACAAAAGTTTGGAGGCGTTTGGCGGCCATGACAGCCAACCCAACACCGCGAGTCGAGCGACAAGAGTCGGAGGCGGAGGCGCAGCTGAAGCCGATGCATGCGGAAACGGCTGAGGCAGAGGCCGAGGTGAATGGGGCAGCTGAGGCGGCAACGGATGAGCTAATTGGCATTTTCTATGTGGAGAATCGGCGACGCAAGCAAAACATAAAAATTGTAGTCAAGCTCTGTCCAGAGGGCGTCTATCTGCGTCGGGAGACGGCACAGAACGATCACATCAATGAGCAGCTGATACGCATCGACGACATCATCGGCTCCAGCTGTGGCCAGCGGCTGAAGAAGCGAGCCCGAGGTGGCCTCACCTCGTGCAAAAGCACCAGAAATCAGCAGCAGGAGCAGCAGGAGCAGCACCAGCACCCAGATGCCGAGGGTGCAGGAGCAGAGGAGCAGCAGGGAAAGGAAGCCGACAACAGCGCCTACCTCTACATCTATGCGTATCTCAAGAAGGAGAAGCCGCTGCGACGAGTGCAGACGTTGCGCATCCTACGCTTTCGCACCAGCGACGACTATGCCGAGAATCTGGCCACCGCTCGGCTCTGGCATCGCACCATACGGGAGCACAAGCAGCGCTCAGGTGCCGCGGGTCAAGTGGCTCGGGCGGCGGGCAAAAGGCTGCTGATTTTGCTGAATCCCAAGTCGGGATCGGGCAAGGGACGCGAACTGTTCCAGAAGCAGGTGGCGCCACTGCTGCGCGAAGCGGAGGTCCAGTACGATCTGCAGATCACAACCCATCCCAACTATGCCCAGGAGTTTGTGCGCTCGCGCAAAGATCTGATGGAACGGTATTCGGGCATCGTTGTCGCCTCCGGCGACGGCCTCTTCTACGAGGTGCTCAACGGCCTGATGGGGCGCATGGACTGGCGTCGTGCCTGCCGTGAGCTGCCCCTGGGCATCATACCCTGCGGCTCCGGCAATGGCCTGGCCAAAAGCATCGCTCATCATTGCAACGAGCCGTACGAGCCGAAGCCCATCCTCCATGCCACGCTGATCTGTGTGGCCGGCCGCGCTACGCCCATGGATGTGGTGCGTGTCGAGCTCACTCACCGGGACAGACACTATGTGATGTACTCGTTCCTCTCCATTGGCTGGGGCCTCATTGCCGACATCGATATTGAGAGCGAAAGCCTGCGCTCGATTGGCGCCCAGCGCTTTACCCTTTGGGCCATTCGGCGGCTCATCACGCTGCGCTGCTATCGGGGTAAACTCTACTATCTGCCGGCAAAGAGCTCCACGGAGCAGCCAGCAGCAGCGCCTGCAGCAGCTCCTGCAGCAGCTCAATCCACGACAGGAACACCTCAGGAGCAGGCCAATAGCCAGGCTGAGCCCCAGCCCGCAGCCTTCAGCGAATTCAAAGACCTGCCCGACGACGAGGATGTGCAGCTGCGCGACAATCAGTCGGATCTGGATCAGTTTGCCGACGCCCTGTCCCTGGATCGTTCCATCTATCGCCAGAATGCGGATAGCTGGCATTCGGCAGTGTCGAGGCGCACGGCCTACTATTCGATTGGGGGCCAGAGCTCGCGCTCCAACCGCAGCCGGCTGAACGTGAGCCAGCGGATCGAGGCAGCCAATGCCGAGTTCAATCAGCTGATGCCGGTGAGCAAAATACCCGGACTGCAGATGCCGCTATCTGCCGCCGATGGCTGGCTGCACGAGGAGGGCGAATTTGTGATGGTCCATGCGGCCTACACCACCCACCTGGCCTCCGATTGCTACTTTGCGCCCGAGTCCCGGCTCAACGATGGCCTCATCTACCTGGTGATCATACGAGCCGGTGTCGGACGCTCTCAGCTGCTCAACTTTCTGCTGGGCATGCACAATGGCACTCATCTGCCCATGGAGCAGGATCCACACATACAGGTGGTGCCGGTGCGAGCGTTTCGCATTGAGCCTTGCGGCTCCCACGGCATCCTTACCATCGATGGGGAGCGCGTGGACTATGGGCCCATACAAGCCGAGGTATTCCCAGGCCTCATCAATGTGATGACCACAACGGGGCAGTGAGCAGGTTTAAAAAAGTTCCAGTTTTTAATTTTACAACATATATATATAAATATGGTTTAA